TTACATATGGAGATTTACTGGCGTTCCTCTCATTCCCTGTGCATGAATTTTGTTTGGATATGGATTTATGTTGTCGCTGTTCTGATCAGATGGATTACAGTATGTATAATCCTTAAATCAGACACATGGAAGTCTGGGCAAACACTGGGCGTGAGGATCTACAGTACAGTAAAGTTCACCTGAACATTCCTATGCTCTGAATTAATTTTGACCCTTTTGCTTTATTGTCTGCAGTAATACCCTAGAAAAGGCGCTCTGGTAGTGATCATCTCATACCATTTTGCCTTATTATTCTACATGGATCAATAAGTTTGACCTTTTTATGGATTAAGCAAATGTTTATGAAATATTATAAATGTTTCTTGTGACCCTGTGAAGGCCTGTAACCCAGGGACACAGTTATGAGTCTCAATACTTTCGTGTCTCATAGGCTGAGGCTATAAATAGCCCACCACGCTGGAGTAGAGTTTTCCCGAGCGATGCGGTAGGAAGCCAGAGGAACAGCTGCCTGGAAGCCAACTTCTGTTAGATCAGTGGGGTCAGATGGGCATGACCTCCCGTCTCTTTTCCCTCTTCTTTCAGTTTTACACATCACCCTTATCTTTTTGTCGCCCTTCTGAGCTGTTCAGTTGCCCATTTTTTGCTTTCAGTGGCTGTCCTACCTCTCTCTTGGTGTCGTTTTTGCTACATTTGTCTGCCTTGTGATGTCTTTTAATTTCATGCTTATCATCATTACATCTGCCATCTTCACATTATTGCTACATGATGACTCCTCCACCTTGTCTTCTTGTCTTTGTCCTGTAGATTTTGCTCTGTCAGTTAATTTGTGTCCTTCTTGTGTCAAGGATTTTTTTTTTTTCTGTCACTGTCTTGCAAATTATTAGCCGGCCTCCCTTGACTATTCTCATAATTGGAACAGTCCTAATATTAACAATGCTCATCTGTATTGTTATATAAAAAGATCCCCTGATGTAGGCAGATGAACTAGATGAAGAAGATGTAAAACAGGAAATTCAAAACGTGTGCTTTGGACTGAGTTGTTCAGCGGTGAAAGCAAAAAAAAAAACAAAAAACAAAAAAAAAACTAATGAGGTCATTTGGCTGTTGTCTGTCATTTGTTCATATTATGTGAATAAATAAACAGACAGTAATAACCTGAGTAATAATCCAAGAAAAATAAGGCATTTTAATATTTTCGTGCATCAAATGTGCAAGTGAGGAGCGATACTGTAGGAATCACTTTGCACTTAGGTCTGAAAAGTATCTCTTCACTGACACTTCAGTGACGCTTGGTCTCGTATGATTTGGTTACAACAGTGCTTTTACTTGTGGTAAAAACTCATTGAGAGGTTGCGTGCCGCAGTAAACACTCTGAGGAGCTCTTAAAAAAAAGAATGAAGTTAAGTCTGTCACTAAAAGTTTGCACCACCCGATCTCCTGCCGAGCATGTCGGGAGTAGTTTTTCACGCAGCAGCGGGGTGCGGTGAAGTTGTTTGCTTTGGTGGGAAGTCGGACGTGCACAGCCTGCTACCTGCAGCTCCTGTCACAGCTCACTGCGAAAACTGGTTCCCTGTTCTGTTACCAATGTAAAAATCCCCCAAAAGTGGTAATAAGAAGTAAAATTTGTTACAACTTTATTGATTTGATTTTTTTTTCTTTTATGGTTATGAAAACCTTAAGGAGAAACGGACTGCTATAGAAGAGATAGCATTAAAAAGTGACTGAATTACATTTTTTAGTATCAGAAATGTAAAGTCATCTTGTTGATGCGGAATGAGCAATGAAAACTATTATCACTGAAACAATGTTAAAGAAAAAAAAGGGCAAAGCCTGCCATTTTCTTGCAAAATATCCTCTGATTGCTGCTGCTCCCTGTCTTCTCCAACAGTTTGACATCACAGGGGTTTATTTATAGCCAGCAGATGGATTCTCCCATAACAGTATGCTTCAGTGCTTCTTCCCCCCTAGCCTAGCCTACTGTGGATGACTCAAATGAACTGGAAGAAATACGTTGTTTACATTATCTCCTCTGATCTGCAAAGCCATCAATTTGTGACTGCATCTATTATTCATATGGTCCCATCCAACATGCACACATGTGCCAGAAAGAGTTAGACCTGGAATTCACAAACTAGACGTGATTTCTGTTCCTTGGCGGTGTATGCTGTGTGCACATGCTGATGGGGGTCTTCTGCATACGGATTACATGATGTGGTGTCTGACACACCCACATAGCTATTCTGTGAAACTTCACACATCCCGGCGCAAAATGACCTGCACGCATGCAGAGTAAATGCAGCAGAAGACAGCAGAGATGCGTACAGGAGCATAGCGACAGCTATCCGAATCAACCTGGCTCTATTTAGAAAAGTATTATTACCCCCCTGTTAAACGCTCATTAAATGTAAAAGTTAAATTTCCAGAGCTGTAGAATCAAGAATTCGCTTAAACGGAACCTGTTTGACAACTTCAGGTTAGCTAAAAGATCTTAGAAAGCAACATATCATGTCCACATTTAATGAAATTTAATAGTATGACGCAAGATCATCAGTCTACTGTTAATAAAGCAATTTTTAAGTATTTAGGACTCCAGCAAACCACAGGAAATGTTTATAGTTCTATAGTAAAAAATCTATTTGGCAAAAATGGCAGCCATGCATTTTCCCAAGATGGAATTGATCACAAAGGCCCATCTCACATTGCCACAGAAACATTCAGATTACAAGGAGTAAGTTACATTTACTTGAGTAAATTTTTTTCAGGGAAAAAGTACTTTTGGGAGTAGTTTTACTACACCATGCATTCATATTTCATTTTAGACAAATAATAATAAAAAAATTACTCTTGCTTGACAGTTCTAGATATTCTCCCCACTATGAGCAACAACTAAATGAGGATTAAACATGTTTTAACCAAAAACCAGGCATAAATACCCACAGTTCATCCTAAACTGCTGCTTTTTGTACACAAGCCTCATTGTTTTTATTTTCTACTTGCTGAGCCTGTTGTGCCATTTGGAGGTCAAATTAATAACCATTGACAGTAGAGGTTGTGACTCGTAAGTATTTTACCCTGTTCCACCTGCTGCAAGTTTTGGTTTCAGAAATCTTTGGAATTTGGAAAAGTGTTTTGTGTGTCTGAATTTGTTAATTAGTAATTATCATATTAGATTAATATAAGTCCTTAAAATACTTTGTGCGTAACTGCATATTTTAGTCTGTTTCATTACATGATTTTCAAAATTGCATAATTGTAAGAGATTAAATCAAATGTTATTTGTTACAAAGTACTTAAATAGTCTTATTACCATTTTTTTACTTCATTGATTTATTTGGAGACTACTTTTTACTTTTGAGTGTAAATGTGCTGAAGCAGTTTTACTTTTACACAAGTACAAATCTTGGGGTACTCTATCCACCTATGCTCATGTCATCTTTTTCTGATATAAAAATTATTTGATAACCAAACTTGTGTGTGTGTATATATATATATATATATATATATATATATATATATATATATATATATATATTTAGAGAGAGAGAGAGAGAGAGAGAGAGAGAGAGAGAGAGAGAGCAAACAAAATAAATCTGCAACAATAAAAATGTATCCATGGCAAAGTGCATCATTGAGATTTTGTATTTTGGTTCCCAAGTTAATTACATGCTGAAAGTTAAGATTTAGACTGAAATATTTCTTGAGCTTTGAGATTTTGTTTTAGGCTTTATTTAAGACCCTGCAGAAACCCTGATAAAGCTCAAGTAAATGAATTATCCACTGGAGCACAGAAAGGCCCTGCGGCGTGAGCAGATAATGATCTGATGACTAAGTCAGGCTTTTTTAGGCCCAGTTTATTAGCATTGTTATGGGGTCGGAATGAAATTAGGAAAATGGCAGCTGTGTCCATGCCATGTCATTATGAAATGTAATTCAATTTGACCCAGCGAGCTTCTTGATATGGACAGTACACTCTTGGGTTCATGTGTAACAGCTCTGTTCTTATACCCTGCAGACATAGTAAGTTTTCTCTGTGCTTTTCCTGAATATTGAATGTTCCCTGAGATTAGATCAACTTGGTGATTCTCTGGCCTCGGCTGCTTTTAGAAAAGTCAGTCTAAGCACAATTTATTTCAGTTTATATCATCATTTTTTTGTTTTTGTTTTTTTTTTTAGATGCTGCATTAAGGAAGGTCATACTAAAAAAAAGCTGTCATCATTTGACGTCCAACATTTGAAGGCATTTTGCTGCGTTGACAGAGCAAACATTCTGCTTTGACGGTTACTTGTCCACTGTTGCTGTGAAGAGTTGCATTTTAAGACTTGTTTTATGTACATGTGAAGCCTAAGTGAGTAATGGTCTGCTTACTGTGTCTCCTTTGAGTGGGTCAACTTTTAATCCTGCCGTCACACGTTTAAAAGTTATTCAGCTCCATCGGTTCTCTTCGGAGGCAATCACTGAGGCCCAGCCGCAGCTTTAATGAGAGCGTTCCATACTATGCATGAAACACCTCCTGGTATATTTGAATCTATGCGCAATGGGAAGACTTCAATGCTTCAGTGGCTTCAGAACACAAGGAAATCTACTCATTAGATTTCTTTGCCAGGAGCAGAGAGGGAAACTAAATGCCAGCTAGTGTCAAGTCAGGAGTGAGTGAATGGCTGGAGAGGAACAGCTGCACGCAGTGTTTCTGCCAAGCATAGCATGTCAACAAACTGCAATGCAACTCTGCTCAGTCATTCGGATGCAAGACAGAGTGCTGAAATGCCTGTGTGACATTAGGGACGGTTAATATAAAGAACCATCTGTGCAGCTCGGCTGGAGCACAACACATTCTGTCATTATGTGAAATCGTACATGGACATGCATATTTGGTAGATAGCAGATGGGGAGTCGACGTGGCGTGATCCCTATCCTTGCAACAAACATAAATTAACTTTCTTCCATTTTATTTACTCATATGATTTTGTTCTTTTTTTTGTTTGTTTTTTTTTTCCCCCAGGAGGCTCAGAAGGTGAATAACCCTGCCAACAATCCGACAGCAGACAAGACAACAAAAGGTCCTGATGAGAAGGAGGAGGTAGCAGCCAGCGAGGTGGGATGGATGACTTCAGTCAAAGACTGGGCCGGTGTCATGATCTCCGCTCAGACACTCACAGGCAGGGTTCTGGTAGGTTTCTCTTCTTCAGACATGAATGAAGTAAAATGTTTTGGCCTCAAATTATTTGGCTATTTTCTGTGCAAACTGAACTCTTTTTCTTTGGTCGGAATAAGTTTGTCTTGTCCATTGGACATCGATTAATCTCCGCTGTTTTGATGGTGTAGTTCTGCAAGCTGTAGCCTAACTTTTCTCTCCCTCTCTTGGGTCAGTCTGTCGGTTTGTATTTACGTGTGTGCCAGTACGAATACTCGTGGACTTTATTTGGCCGAAACTAGGCCATCGAGATCTGGTGTTGGTGTAGTTTAGAGTGCAGCGCCAAGACTTTTCTAGTGATGTCCGGAGTAGCTCCCCTCCCGACTTATCTCACCAATATATTTGTTTTTGCCTGTTTATTCTGCAACTTCATCTACATCTTTATGTCTGCAGTGTTGTCGTGTGAAATCGTTTGCCACTTTGGGGAGATGAGAATTTTTCGGTTTATATCAATTTTGACCAAACTAAAACAACACAAATTGTATCAATTATATCAACTACTACTACTGTGCTCTCAGTTGATGGGTTTTGGTATTTCCTGATAGTGTAGCCGACTTCATGTTTAAGGACATTTGTTTTGTTTTGTTTTTTTCTTTATCTGCTCTTTTCTAGCTTTTTTTCAGTCACACTTGGTCTGTTTTGTACAGACATCCACTGTGCATTTGTGGACTGAATGAAACAGCCGTGGGAGTTGGAAAGAAAGAAAGAGAGAGAGAGATGAATCCAAGATAAAATACGAACGCTGTCATTGTTAACGTTTGCTGGAATGTGACAGCTTCCTCATGCCTGATGGGGATAGTTCAGAGTTGAGGAAGGCTCCGTCCTTTCATAGTGGGGAGGAGGGTGAAAAATCCTGAAGGGAGCTGTCAATTTACTAAATGAGCTTCTCTTTCATCACTTTCCCACTCACACGACTCTCCTGGCATGGAACGCAGCTCTCTTCTTCCTTTCATCTTCTGCTCTGACAGAGTGCTCCCAATCTGCCCTGTATGTATATTTCTGTTAGCTGGAAGTGTGAGGGAGAGAACGGAAGCAAGGAAAACAGGGGCAGAGAGAAACGCCAACAAAAAACACAGAAGCAAATTAAAAGTAAACCAGTGTGTTTGTTCCAGCCAAGGAGAAATAAGGCACTGGCTGCTTTAAATGGGGTTTCTAGGCTTAAAGATATCCCAGTGTATCACCTACTGTGATTTGCGCTACTTCTGGTGGAGCTGATAATTCAGCCCAGCAGGCTCTGTTTACTTGCGTGCCCTCTGTAACGATATGCAGCGCAACACTGCAAAATTGCTCCATGCAGGTGAGTGACTGGTTCATCATGTGGGTGGAACGTGTGCAACTGCGAGTTCTTGTTTGAAAGTATTTTTCCATACATGCAAGTAGGAGCATGAAAACTTCGGTATATATGTGCATGTGTGGATGTGTTCACATGTGGGTGGTGAGGTGATTTTTTTTAATTTTTTTTGTTTTTTATGTTGTTTTGTGAAGAATTTGCTCTTCCATCAGTGCTTCACTGCAGATCAGAATTTGCAAGGAGTATCCGTGTACGCAGAACCTGGCTGGTAACCATAGGAACTGCTGTGTGGTGGTGCTCAGTCATCTGACATTAAGGACTTTGTCTGCCTGGGGAAAGCAAAGTAGGACAAAAACAAACAAACAAACAAAAAATAAGTTTCTTCCTTGCTCCCAAACGGACATGTACAGTTAGCTCCATTCCACCCTGGTGGAAAAAGAATCAAAACCAGATAAAGATTGATTGTTTCTGTTAGTCAGAGCCCTCCATTCCTGGTCATTTGTTTCCCTTGATGACTTTGCTGTTAGTGAAAGATCAAGTATACCCTCGAGCTTATTGAATTGTCTGACAAATATAAATCCTTCACTTGGTGTGGAGTTATGTTGTTCTCTTCAATCCTTTCTTCTAGAGTTGCACATGCATATCATCTTTCCTGTAGCAACAGTAAGTAATTTAGTCAGCAAACACATTTTACAGTGTAAAAATGTTGAAATTGTTAACAGGTTTCACTGTTCTATAAGGTTGATTCTTTCTCACTGGCCAAACAGCAGACAGTTTGATGCCGGACACATTCAAACCACAGGAATATCTGCTTGCTAACTTCTTTAAGTGAATAGTGTATGATTGTGCACATACAAGCAGCACAGTCTGAAAAATTCACCACTACACTTATCAAAAAAACGCAGAGCTTATTTATTTTGGATGGTTCTCTGGCATTAGCCAGACAAATTCATAACTCCACTCCCTGCGCATCCTTTCATCTGATGCTTAAAGTTTATTTGGTGACAGTTATGTTTTTCTACAGGAAAATGGTTTCAAACACACCACAAAAAGTGATTATGGAACGGATTAAGTAGACCGATTAAACTTTTAGTCTCGTCTATCCAAACATGTTATGTTTACATATATCTGGTGATAAATGATATATATTCTTTACTCTTAGATATGTTATTTTTACGTCTCAAAACAATCTGCAATGGATATAAAATATGCGGTCGAAGTTTTCACTTGTCAAAGCTGGAAAAGTACTAGAATTTATATGTCAATCATTGCCATACGGCTCCCTGTTAGTTTGTGGGTGATTGGGCTTACCATGCTGTTTTCAATGACTGAGGCCTGAGTAGAATAACAGCCTGCTGATATTCAAAACATGTTTATCGATTTTCAATAGAAAAAACAATCTCTTTCCTTAACCCTAACAACAGAAGGGAGTCCAGTTGTCTTGGCGTGGGAGTAAAAGTTGCTAGCTCATTCTTAATTCTCATTCTTGAGAGATAATACTCGTTTTACGCCTACCATGCAGTACAACACAACTTCTAGATAGATAGATGGATAGATACATAGACTTTAAATTTGTCCTCCAATATTAGTGTACATCACACAGTCCAACCAGAGGTACGTGTCATTCGTTGTTTCATGTAGGAAGCTGAAGGTGGCAGAAGCAACAAAATCACCAGCTTCTTTGGCCGACTCTTTCCTCTTTCTCCATTTGGCTCTCCTCATCTTCATTACCCCTTGTGATTTCTACATTGTCATAAATTTGAACGCACTTTCCATTCAAACTGAAAAAGGCTTAATGACGTTACTCAGTACCCTTCAGCAGTTTCGGCTGAAGGGTACTGCAGCAGTCAAACCTAGCACCCATCATTTACCCAGAATGCATTGCAACGTAAACGACACGCCAACGTCCGTGTGACATTTTCTTTCAATTTCTAAAAACCAAACAGCCTACAGTGTTTTTACTGTATTGTTGTTGCATCAAAAAGAAATATTTCTCAAATAAAGTTTATTGCTACAACTAATAGTGAATCGTTGCTGGTAGAGATGAACTACCTGCGACTAAGGAACTATCTCTCTGCGTCTTGCAGGGCAGCTGTCCGCACAGTGCCATTGCTTTCGGAAGAAGAGAGAAAGGAAAGCCCATCCTCTCTGTAGGTGGGAGGGCCTCGAAATGGATAACTCATCGGTTCTTTGACAGCCACGTCATCCCAGTTGCTCTATCAAAAGACCTCATTAAGCACTGAAGGGCGCAGTGTATGAGGAAGGAAGCGACTACTTGGACAGCTGAATTTGTGTGCCACATTATCCTAGCATCTCACCAAGTCGATTTCTATGTTTTGCATCTGGTATTGTAACAATGCATGTAATCCTATAATGTCCAAGAAAAATACCAAGGATTACAAACCCTGAATGCAGATATTCTCCCTATCTCTATGGACAGCGGATTTACACGGCATGGTGGGTCCAGAAATAGGTCAGTCCTGCCATCTTTCTTAATGGGATCTTGGGTGGCAACCAGGGACCATCTGTTCACACGGTTCGCTCTCTAATCCCTGTGGTCATCCCTCTGCCTATTCCCATCCACCCTCACACATCTTGGCCTTCTGCATTTTGACCCCTATCATCTGGAAACACTATGAATGCAACACATCTGTCTGTCTTTACAGAAATAAAGTGACAGCATTCTAATCACTGTTATACAAAACGACAAAAGTCCCGCTCAAACGGTCATGTTGAGCAGTAAAACCCCTTACAGGGCACATGATTTTTCTTTGCCACTTTTTCCTCTCTCTGTGTGCTTTTACCAGCATTTTTTCCCCTCATCTGTTATCAGCTTGTGTATGCAAACTTGCTCAGTGTATGCATATCTGTGTGCTTTGGCAGTGAGGAGAGATTACGCACCATTTTGAAATGGTGTGTTATTGTTTTTTTTTGTTTTGTTTTTTTTTTTTACTTTGTTTCCGTGTTTCCTCAAACATCCCGTTGGGGTGAAAATAAATGTTTTCTCACATCCCCATGATTGCTTTCCTCCCTGCCCAGAGAACAGCTGTCATTCACACTTTTCAGCCTGGCATTGTTTATGTCATTGCAACGTGTGTCTACCTCTGTGAGGAAAATGTCACACCATATTTTCTTTAGAATTGAATCCAGATATTTGCATACACTGTGAAAAAGATCAAACTTTTTTGTACTCGTACGTTAAATCAAGTGTAATATTTTGTACTTTGGTTCTCTTTGATTTACTAAAAAATGTTCTGCTTGATAAATACCAGAATGATTTTTTAGAGATCTTTTTATTATTTAAAATTGAAAAACGAAGATCACTATTCCTTTAAGAAGTTTGGAAAATTACAGATAATTATGACATGGTTGTGCAAATTTGTGATAAGTTACGTTTGAGTTTAAATGTTAAATTCAAATGTGTGAATTTTAAGACACACCTCAAACACACTGCTTCCTTGTTTGACACCAAGGAAAAATCTAAATGCATCAGGGAGAAAATGGTGGATGTCAATGTGTCCAGATCATCCTTGGGTACGATTTCCATTCCCTCTTACTAAAGGAGGGATTGGTCCATTTCACAAAATAAGTGGCATCACAAGAACATAAAAATTGGCTTAATGATGATATAAAATGGTTGTAATTCACCACATTCACAACTCTTGTGTATTTTATGTCATGTCTT